GGGGCGACAAAGCAGAGAAGGTGATTTCTCAGGATATCACATCTCAGCAGTACACAGACTCAGGTGATGACTCCTGGTGATGGCTTCTTTGCTTTTTCCATACTTTTTTTTTTTTGGTGATACATGCAAGTGATTGAACGGCATCTCAGGCAAAAGACAGAACGCCGAGACGAAACAACGGCGGCGACGGGGGAGGTTTAGGGGGGCGTTTAGCCGTTAGCGTGGGGCGGCCTTGTGCGGCAAATACTCGCTGTTAGGAAAAAGAAGACGCGCCGGCCGGCCGGTGTGGCACACCTCCTGGTCCGGGCGGGGGTTTTTTTATCGGGCGGTGGTGTCTTCTAGGTGTAGTAGAAGCCATCTCTCGGTTGGTTCTAATTTGAGATATAGCCATCAAATGGACAAATGCTGGCTGGCAAGTAAGAGCGCTCAAGAATCTGGCAACTAAGGTAAGTAGATCTTGGTTAGATATTCGCCCCCCTTGGAACGAGGGTACTCTGCACTGTCTGCAGCTATGTGAACTTTGTTGGAAGGAGGATAGCTGGGGATGTACCGATAGATGCGGTGGGTATGGTAGCACACCGGCCCCTCCCTGTCACGGAGGGGGACCATAGGCACCGAAAAGGTGAGCAGGGGAATTATTCAGGTGGGATGGGCTCTCTCGGTGTGACGAAGTGGTGATGGAGGCGCCCTTGTTACTCCTCGTGGCGGGCGTCTGGGCGGCTGGTCGTTTGCTTCCTCCCCAAAATCAGTCTACTTTGAGCCTGGGTACCTACATCTAGGATGATGATTGTTTCCTCCGAGGGGAGGGGGCGTGCAAGTCTCAGGTGGTTGGTTTGCGTGGTGGTTTGCGTCCAACGAGGAAAAAGGAATATGGCAAGGCTGGGGAATCAGGGTGGCCGGCAGGCCGGTTGGAAAGACGGGCAGGGAGGATGAGAAAGATGTGTGTGTGTGTGTTATGTTGTACCGTAGGGATCTGGTGTTGTAGGTACGTGAACGTGTGAACATGGGAGATGGAAAAGTGTGCACCAAATCCAGGTTCGCTCATGTCGGGCTCAGCGCTAATCTCGCCAATCAGCGGCGCGGGAGGTGTGCATGGCGTCGGCAGTCTCAGTGATACCACGTTTTCCCCCTCTTGGGATGGTTTGCTGCTTACTTTTGGTGTGCTATCTGTGTTATAGGTAGGTAGGAGAATAGCTTGCTCCCCAGGTTACAGCGGTGTTCTTTTCTTGGGCGCGTCTGTCGTTGACGGGGGCTGATGTTGTGACAAGTCTCAGCATGGGTTACGTTCATGAGTGTGACGAATCTACTTTTGGCGTTTGGCGATGCCATGTACCTGGGGGTTAAGAAGGCACCGAGGTACAAGAGGTGCGTGAAAGTGCAAGGTACTCCCGTGAGCAGGCTACGACACCCAATGTGACGGTGGCACGGGTGGCTTGCGTTTACCTTTTCGCCTAGCGAATGATACGATGACCGCGTTTGGTGTTTGGTGTGATTCGAGAACAAGTGCACATCTTGGATCGGGGAAGAGGGTAAGGGGGATCGGCGGTGCGGGCGGGATTGGGGGCCAAGATGGGCCGCGCGCGAAGGGGCCCGTTGGTAGCCTTACGAGGCGGAGGATTGTAGGATGGCATGATTCCGAGCAGAGTTGTGACGGGTGAGTGAGTCGCTCTTCATGTGAGATGGGTTTGTGAGATGAGACTCATGTGAGATGTCAGGTGAGAGGCGGGAAATGGCAGGTAGGCAGGCATCCGTACGTGTCTGAGATGGCGGCCGGCTGACGATCGGAATGGAATTTGGAAGGATGCTGCTCCTCCTGCTACAGAGCCAGTGGGAATTTAGTACGAAGTGCTCGAATCGTTGGTTCAGCTCCCTTGCGATTGTTTGATGTTTCTGAAGCTCCCTTGCAACGGTGTTGGTTGCTCACATGAGGCTGAGTAGTTGCGGAGAGACAATGGTCGTCAGCGCTATGGATCCCTTGATTCTTGCTCCCTGTGGTTGATGAAGAACTGTCATCCGCAGGTGCCCTCTCTAATTCTCAGCAAGTATGATCCGAGTCAACCTCTTCAAGCGTAATGCCGGATCTAAGATGTTTCCGAAATCTTGAGCACGCGCTGAGCCATGATAGCGTCAAGTCTAGCGGCCCATAACTTCTTGGAGGAGGTTAAAGTTGCAGTGAAATCGGGGGCCAGTAACAGACACCACGTGATCAGCCTTTTTGTGAGTGTCCAACCACAGGTACGTGTTGTTCCTGCCTCACAAGTAAATTGCTGACACACATCGACTCTGGGTGGGTTAAAATCGCAGTGAATTGAGATCGGTGCAGAAGATGCTAACATGCCAAGCCAAGAAGGCGGGAAGGTCGATGGCCCATGACCCATGGCAAGACCCGTTTGGACCCGTCAAAAGGAAACAACGATGTGATTGAAACGAGGAGGGGCAGCAGCAATTGAGGGGTCAGTTTGAAAGGTGGGAGTGGAGGATGTTATGATACTGCCTTTCTCGTCCTTACTCGTCAGATCACCCATGGCTATCATTCTGATACTGCTTTCTTGCTACACACCTCTGCCATAAGGGTTCAATAACTGCTGCTAGTCCGTCATTCAAAGGAAGCAGTCAGAGACATCGCGTCTAGCTCAGCCTCTGTCAGACATCAAGTGGGCATATCCAAACACACCCCGAGATTGACCTGAATAAGCTGACCACTGCTTTACCTTGCACCACAGGAAGCCATTCAGCCCAGTCATGAACGGACAGTCTCACTGGTACTACCCAATAGACAGCGGGATACTCAAAAAACAATACATTTGGTGCGATCGACAAGCCTCCCGACTGGCTCCCAGCGCACATCCAGCTCCCAGCAACACCAACCGCGAGTGCATGAGGTGGTGCAAACGCACCAGTATGCACAGCGCGGCACAGTCAACAACCATCGGCGGCTCGTTATTTTTGGGGATTCGATAGACACCTCCTTCAACCCTCAGGATGTCCAGACTCTGCGTCATTTCTCACAGCGAACCCTCCAAAATGCAACCCACCACACCCCTGGGAACCCAGGCAAGGGTAGCCCATGAGAGGAAGAAACGCCAGTGCTGGTAGTGCTGTGTCGGCCCGTTCCAACTTGGGACCGTTCGTCGCGACTCTTCTTTACGGTTTACCTTGTTTTAGCGACCTGTCACTGGTCATTAATCACCACGAGTGGTAAAGTCACCTTTGCCCGGCCAGTCATCCTTCGCACTCCCCCTCCCTCTGCCCACGTTTCCCTTGCTCTCGCAATTCCCTTTTGAGGTCTCGATGAGGGCCTCTGGGCATGCTTCGGTCAAGATTTGAGTCAAGCAGTTCTGGGCATGCTTGTCTGTTGGTCATACGAAACTCCGCCTGTATAGCGGCCCGTTCACTTACCCTCAGCACGTTGTCCGATGTCTGGAATGAACTGACAGTGCGCGTGACATTATGTCTAGGTATCTCATCACGACTTCCGTCTCTGCGGCTGTCGCGCCGCCGTGTGCAATCTCACGCTATCATAGCGGACGGCTGTGCTGACACACGGCTGCTCACTGCGTCCTTTTCCTCTCCCTACCCGCCGGGATACCACGGATGGCGTCCGTACGCAACCAACGAGGAGGGGGTTTCGAGACGACCAAGCGATAACCGGGAGGGGGAAAATGGAAGAGAGAACCCTCACCCCGCTAGCATGCGCGGGAGGGGCGGCCGTTGCGGAGACTTTGTCCCATCATCATCATTCCTACGAATACGGATACCTACACTCTCTTGCCTGCGTCTCTCGGTCTTCAGCAACAGCAGTGATGTGATGCAGTAGCAGCGACGTCTGTCTCCTGTTGCTGCACAATTACGGATCCCCTTGGAGTTCACTCCATCCATTCTAGCCGCAGCCTGCAATGATGCCTCGCGCTGCCATGCCATGCGCTGCAACAACCAGATGACGGCCATAAACCCTGTTTCTCACCCGCGCACCGCAGTATCACCAAGCAGTTCATCTCGAAAAGACCGCTGCCTACTGCGTCAACTATACCATACTCGCAGACATCTGCACTGGTCACCCAGGCCGGGAACGATGCACGCCATGTCCGGCCGATCCGGCAAAGGCCATCATCTTCTTCCCAAATCCCTCCCCCTCTTCCCCTCCCGCCCATACCCATGGCCCGTTAAACCCGGGCGACTCTGTTCCGCAACGTGCTCCCCACGCCGAAAAACGGCTTGCGTAAGAAACCTCTTGCATGTGCCTAAAACGAACATGGGCCACATGGGAAAACAGACGAGCCCGGCCAATGATGATGCTTCAGACCCCCAAGAAAGGGGAGCCCTTGGAGAGGGGGGCGTGAAGAATCTAAATGTACCTTATCGACAGGGGGTGATGAGGTCCTCACGCGTCCTTTAGCTTGTATTCCGTACCGCCGTGCCGCAGCCTACACGCCCCGGTCTGTCGTTCTTCTGCTTACCCCGCGCATGCATATCCGCCTTCGTCTGCTTGGTCCATAACCGCTGCACAGTGCGTTGCATTGGACGATGTTCTGCCCGGCGCAGGACGGCGGGAGAGGTTCAGCTTCGGGGGCCGAGGGATCGTGAGCGTGCAGGATCTTGCTGCCTTTGGTACGGGCCACGGCCACGGCCACAGCCAGGAGTAAGGTCGGCCGCCTCCCCCTCCCTTCCGATGGTGAGTGCCGTCTGCGACGTTGATCGCTGCAAGCTCTTCCTTCCTTCCCTTGCCGTTGCGGAGGTCTCACCCCGGCTGGGCAACGGACGGCCGGCCGAAATGAAAATTCCACGATTCACGCCGGGTTGGACTAGGTACAGTCTTCATACAACTGCACAATGACTCAATGCTGCGAAAATAGTACACACGATGGGCGTGGCTTGGAAGGCGATAGCTGAAACTGGAAACGAGTCTCTTCCTAGTGGTATCTCTAATCCTCTAGGTTAAACACCAGTCATCGCCGGCGGCATTCCATATCGATGCTAAACCATGACGCCAGCTTCGCCAGCTCGGCCCTCGACTACGGGAAATCGCCCGGTCTCATCACCGGCGCCGATTCCACCCAGCCACTGCCAGCACCAACAAATGCGGACTCACGCGTCGAGCAGTATCCGTGAACCAAACACCCCCCCCCCCATTGACGAATCATCTACACCCGCCGTTCGCTCACTCGCTCTACTTCCACACACTCGAACTCTCCGCGCCAGCCTTCTTTCCCTCCTGATATGTCTCACTCAACGCGTTATACAGCCCCTTCACACGCTCCATCTCACCCCTCCAATGCTCTCTCTCTCCCTCTTCCTTAATCTCCTCCACCAAATCCCCTAGACTCCTTGCCGTGAAGAACTGGTTTGTCCGGTTGTACAACTCCCGCCGCTCCAACGCCGCCTCCCCCTCCCCCTCAGCCGGCACGCGGAACACCTGCTGCAAGATATTGATATCATGGGGAATCGCGAATAAATCGCGACTATCCTCGTAGGTGAAGAGGTAATACACCTCCCTGAACCCGGACCAGGCAATGCCCGAGAGGCAGAGGGAGCAGGGCTCGTGGGTGGCGAAGAAGACGCAGTCGGTGCGGGGGGAAGGGCGGGTGGCTGGGTCGGGGAAGTCGCGGGTGAAGAAGGTTTGGATGCAGTTTATTTCGCCGTGCAGGAGGGGGGAGGTGCGTTCGTCGTTGGTGGAGACTGTGTAGGGGGATAGGGCGGTCCCGGAAAGGTTGGAGGGGGAAGACGGGGAGGAAGAGAGGATTGCGGCGCCGAAGAGTTTTGAGCCGGAGGAGACGCCGGCGGCTGTTAGGGGTACGATGCGGGTTTCTGTGAGGGAAAGGAGGGAGGAGAGGACGGTTTTTGGGTCGCGGGTTGGGAGGGGGGTTTCTGTGGCCATTGTGTGTGGTGATATCTTGTTTTGAGTTTCAAGGTGTTGAGTGGTGATGGAGTCAAGTAAGTGTAGATGTTGCTGGGGATGCTTGTGAGATGTGTACAGTCAATTGTTGGCCGTTGGAGATTTGTCTACGCTGATATGGAGCTGGGATTGGGGCCGCGATTTTATCAACCCCGCGACGCTTATCGCAACCCACCAGATGCTCTCCGTATGCGCATATCAAAGGTAAGGCAATTACTTTAATGTGTGCTTGAGTGGGCGCCGACCTCCTACCATCGGAGGCGTCCGTAGCGCGGGATGGCGGGATGGGGGTATGCTGTTTCCGGTTGCGGCGGGCTGAGGCGGCGACCTCCGATCGTTGCGGTGTTCAAGGGTTCGGAGGTGGGAGATGTTCCGAGCGCTAGTCTGCGACTGCAATTTGGTTTGGGAGTGAGAAGCTGAAAGTTGTTTACGCGGCGTGCTTAGGGGATTTACGTGGAAATATCTGCAATTGCTGAGAACGTGTTGGGTTTCGGTCGGGGATGGTGGCCGAGCCCGGAAGCTGGGGTCCACTTGTCGCCGGTCTCCGATCGGAGGCCGCGGGGGGTTGTAGGTGGACATTGCTGGGGCAGATTGGTATAAATTCAATGTTTGAGCCTGACAACTCCAACTCCCAACCAGAGACAGCCTGCGCTCCTCGAGGCATGTACGTCAACTATCTCAATGTGCTCGAGTTGGTAAGTAGTGCTCTCGCATTCTCAACGGCTACCTACTTGCCTACCTAGTACGAATGCGATGGTGCATCAAGAGTACCGTAGACCGCACGCTAGCCATTTATGCTAAGTGGTATCCTTGGTATGTTTTGCGTGGAATATATCACGGAAGATTATGTATGGGATCCGGTGGATTGACGACACGAAGTTACTCCCCTCAAGTCAAGATACCTTATGAGATTACGGAAACTTGACGGGCTGGCGATTGACATCGTCGAAAGCTTGGCTTCAAACACAGAAGCAAAGACACGCCGATGAAGTGCGTTCTTTGTGTTGAATTGAAATGTGCTGGGCAGGTGTTCCAAATGAAGGGGGCCTAGAAAGCTAAACATAAAGGGCGTTTGTCAAGCTCGCGGCAGGTTTGAAGACATACCCTTTCCGGGCCAGACAGGCAGGTCCCTCCAAGGAATAAAAGGTGCTAGCCCGTCACGCAAAATAGACTCTGATTCTAGCCATCATTTCTGAACATGAAGGATGGTGCCCTGGAATCTCTGTTCCTCGGGCGATAGAGCCATCTGTGAGGAGGAGATGCTTCGATGCTCATGTCTCAATGTCTAAGCACCGGAACTGTAAATGAGCTATGGTCACCGCTGGACCACAACTTATAGCTGGTCTTACTGCTGTCTAGAAAAGTTGACAAGCTGCTTGAGGACGCAGCAGAACCAGGATCGGAACGCATCGTTTGCCATTGGCGGAGATTGACGCGGAAGAGCCAGCAGATGAGATAGTGGCTGTCTTGTTTTGGTAGGGCCCTCGCGGTGAAAGCTATGGCAACTTGTCAGAACAGCTGCCATCGACTTCTCGAAGCAAGGGACAACGTATTCAATACGGATTATGCAATGGACGGTGATGAGATGGATAACTGAAGCGGCAACATGTATGCCAGAACGATGGGGTTCAGCGCTCTGTTTTCCACAAAGCCAACCGTTAGAGTCGGAAAGAGCAGAAATGCAGCAAGTTGCCCTCATTGCGATGCACTAACGCTCAAGAGCAAGCATGAATGGTGGGCAAGGAGGTTTCATTGAGCTCATGGTGGTTCAAGTTTTATTGGCAGATACTTCTCGCCAGGCAAACCTGTCTCGCTCCTGGCGTTTGGCATGCTGTGCTCATAGAGTGAAATAGTATGGGCCCAATATAAGAACTACTGAACAAATTGGCACGTGGTACTTCATCGGCGTCTCCTGTCACAAGGCTTGAGCGGTTCTTTGGGAAGTTTTCTGTCTTATCCACCATCTCGTGTCGCCATCAGAATTTAACTCAGATCCCAGACGTCTCTCTGGAGGCGGATACCATATGGCACCTTTGTGGAGCTAGCATTGCCAAAGATGTAGCAGACATCCCACGACGCGCCATACACGTATGGTGGCCTGCATCTTCCATCTTCCAATAATCCAGCTAAACAATATTCATCGAATGATTTCACATGAGTTGAAGGAACCGCCGGGAAGCGAGTGGCCCACTATATTCCCGATTAGAGAGCTCTGACTGGTCAATGGCAAATGACTAAGCGTCTTCTCAGTTTTCGTCCCTCATCCGCGAGCTCATTGACGCCGTCTCATCGACACCCGACGACATCATCAAGAGCGAGTAAGTCAGCGGAAAATCAGATTCAGTCCTCGTACCGAAGACTCAATGCATTATATACGGCTCCTCCGAGCACCAACGCTCACGCGCGAGGAGAACAGGAAACACCCCTGGTCCCTCAACGTCGTCTTCACCATCACAACCGACCTGGGCGACTCCTTCCTCACACCAGAAGATGATGACCCCGTGAAGATCAAAGTCTCCGCCGGCTGGGAGCAAACAAGACAGGAACAAAGGGACCAGTCGCCGAAGAAGCAGAAAGGCGAGCCCATGATGCTGGCCGCCGAAAAGGTCTTGCGATGGACCCCCGGTATGCGCGTCCTCAAAGCCGACATCCCAGCGCAACACCTGCCCGGACGTGGACCCCTCCCCAACACCAGCGGTCTCGGTCCGCTAAAGGTACGCATACGCGCCGAGGGAGACAAATCAGCCGACACAGCAACGAGCGTCAGTTTCGCGGGGTACGAGAGAGAGTGCGGCAAGATCTTGCCTCTCTGGGCTGACGTACAGACGCCAGGCTCGGAGGCGCCCACGACGTGCGTCCGGAGAATTGAACACGGTGATCGCCCGCCGGATCCGGTATTTGAAGTTGAGGAGGATATTGGGGAGAGTATTGCGCGGCATATCTGGGATGCTGGGTTGATGGCCGTTTCTGGCCTTTGGCAGGTGAACACGCGGGAAAGCTTCGCTGCGGAGAAGCACCCGTGGCTCATGAAGACGTTTCATAAACTGCTCTTCGAAAACGGGCCGGTGAATATTCTCGAGCTAGGCTGTGGCGTTGGGATCTTGGGGAACGGGCTCGCGCAGCTCTTGTCGGGTGCGGATCCCAAGGGTGAGGGTTCCGTCCTCATGACGGATTTACCTGAAGCTGAGCATCGCGCTTGCGCGAACATCGAGAGGCTTGTGGCGAACGGGGTAGCGGCGATTCATCCGCAGTACGAGAACCTCGACTGGGACGACGGGCGAAAGGGAGTATTTGGGCCCTTGGTCAGCGCCAAGACGTGGGACGTCGTCGTCATGAGCGATTGCACGTACAACGTAGACTCGCTGCCTTCTCTGGTGAATACCTGGACGGCGATCCACGTGCACAACATCTCGACAAGCTTGAATGAGTCTGCGAAGACGTGGGTGTACATTGCCTGGAAAAAGCGGCACCCGGACGAGAATGAGTTTTGGAACCAGGTCGATAGCCAGGGGTGGACTCTACACGAAGAAGATGTGGTTGACTTGCCCGTGCTCGGCGGCGAGACGGAGAGGATCTTCACGTACCTCTTCAGCATGAAGTCTACCAAGTTCGAGCTGGATGAGGAGAAGGGAGTCTGGAAGTGCTCCTAGTCGCCAGCATCAGGCCACTTGGAGAGAGATTTATTTCTCTGGCGAAGCAAAGGGGTCCCTTCTGACGGTACTCAAGACACCGTCAAGCGGTGAAGGCGGGATAAGCATCGCGTACAGCGACCGTCGCGTTCGAGGTGAGAGCGACCATCGCGGTATCACACAGCTCGAAACATGCGTAGGTCCGACCAACGACCAAGGTAACAGGCTTCATGTTCAATCACAATCGTCCGGCCGCTTCTCGACAGGCGGAGACAAGCGGACATACGCCTCGATCCTCCCAGAAACACTGCGTTGTGGTGGCTGGATACTCCACGCTCCAGAGATCCCCATACGACACATATGCGAAAATCAAGTCGATCAAATCTAGCGACAACTACAATAAGCCTCAGTAATAGACAGGAATGCAAGGCATTTCCCCACTAATACAGGTCTTCATGGGTCAACACACCCCAAGGAGACTGGCTGATTGCTGCAGGATGTGATACCGGCTTGGAGGCCTAATCAAGGAGGGATACCGGAATCTGGTACCCTTGAGCGATCAGGATGGGCCCGTGGGACTACCAGCGATGGCTCCAAGGCCCGCTGGAACGTCAGCCGACCTGCCAGCCCGCTCAGGCGAAGAATACCGAAGACGAAGATAATGATCACGACCTATATCGTCGCCAAGTCCGCAGCTTTGGAGAGTCTTGCCTTGCTAGAGAAGCGGCCCAACGTATCACCACCGGCACACACCTATTCCTCGTATATAGACCCAATCCTGCAGCGCGTGACATGAGTCCGTTACACCATGCTTCTTCGTCAATCCATATGGTCTGTCAGTACCCGGCCGAGCCTGGAATCGGTCGAATATCCTTCACAGCGTTTGTAGAGAACGACAAAAAGCAACTGCGGGCGTCAAGGATCAAAAAAATGGACGATCTGGGAATCGAACCCAGGACCTACCGCATGCTAAGCGGTCATTATACCACTAAACCAATCGCCCAGTGGATGATCTAGCCCGGACTTGAACCGGAGACCTTCAGTGTGGCAGACGAGAGAGGTGAGGCTCTCGAGCTGTTAGACTGACGTGATAACCAACTACACCACCAGACCGTTTGTTGTTGGAGACCCGCAGCACCAAGACGAATATGACGCGCGAGAACCGACCGACTTGCATTGTGGTGAACGGGGCGCGAGAAGCGAGGGTTTGGTTGCAAAATCTGCTGGTTGCGGGTGAGTGTTCGAATACCGCCAATCAGAGATTTGCGCTAGAGGTGATGGGAAATTGCAGGCTCCGCGCTGTCGGACGCCGTGGCGGGCCTGGTGGAGCTCCGGCAAAGGAGCCGCTGACGCCCCGCGAGTCTTCCGCAAGTCTCCCGCATGTGTTCCGCAAAACATCCCGAGCCGGTATTGCTATCCAATGGCATCATTTCTGTAATAGAGAGACCTCCTCTTGACAGGTTCGAGAAAGGATGCAGACAAGTTCCAGACTCGGACAATACACGAATGGCTCTCGCGTTCTCACGAATAGCGGAAGGAATCAGCATCCGCAGGGCCACCTATCCCGCAGAGTCGATCTGGTGCCGAACAGTCGTGATCTCACATCCTGAACATAACGAAAACGTGCGGTTCCTTTCAAAGTCAGGCTCCCATCCCGTATACCGTACTCGGAGTGATCAATCTAAAGCAGGCATAGGATCGGGCATTTGGCTAGTGCTTATCTTCCTCGCCGGCTGAGGTACGTGCCGTACGGAGAATACCGCCAAACCCGCGTAACGTTATATAACCCTTGCCTCTGATTCATCACACCTTGACACAGCCTTGGATCTCCGTGATTTATCTGCATCAAAGTCTGGTCCCATGCCATCTTGGTACTAGATGCCCATACAAGCTTACCCTTCTATGACAGCAGAAACACAGCATTCATCCAGCCCTTTCCGAAGCAAGCTTTTCCTTCAGATACCATGGCCTCAACCACAGTAATCATCACCGGCGCAAACAGAGGCCTAGGAGAAGGCCTCCTGAAACGCTACCTCGCCCTCCCGAATCATATCGTGATCGCAGGCAACCGCGATCCAACCCATCCAACCTCAAGGGCCCTCGGTGACCTACCCAAAGCCGAAGGAAGCAGACTGATAGTGGTCAAGATCGATGCCTCCGTCGAAAAGGATGCACACGACGCTGTGAAGGAGCTGCAGGAAACCCACGGCATCACCCACCTCGACGTCGTCATCGCCAACGCTGGCATCTCGTACGCCTGGCCAGCTGTAGCCGAGCTCAGGATCGCCGACCTTCAGGCGCACATGGAACCCAACGTCTACGGCGTCGTCGCGCTGTATCAGGCTACGCGAGCGCTGTTGCGGAAGTCATCCACGGAGCCTATGTTTGTGCCCATGGGTTCGACCGCTGGGTGCCTGGAGTGAGTTACACGCACATTGTTTAGGAAGATCAATACAAGTTCACTGACACTGTCGAAAGGAATCAGCCTCCCATACCCAACGCCGTCTACGGCCCTTCCAAGGCCGCGGTGAATTGGCTCACGATCAGGATGAACGCCGAAGAGGACTGGCTCAATGCCTGGGTTCTGATTCCCGGCTGGGTGCAGACAGATCTCGGCAATGCGGGGGCTCGGGGCCTGGGGCTGGAGAAGGCTTACATTGGCGTCGATGAGTCGTGCGATGGTATGATGAAGGTGCTAGCTGCAGCAACGAAGGAGAAGTATGGCGGCAAGATGGTGGCGTATAATGGTAACTTCCCGGGTTGGTAGTCGGTTCATCTTGACATCGAATCGTGTTTGAGACCATCGTGGCATCTTATCAATCTGAATAGGTTCTTCGGCCCGGCGTGATCCTAGATGTTTCACAGGGAGAAAGTCGCATCGTGATTCTCCCCTGCTTCGGCGCGAATGCGGCAACGCCATTGAGCGTTCCTCGGCTCATTGAATCATTTACGGCAACTTTGTCATGGCTTCACACTGGTACCTTTCACTTCCCAACATGTTCTTCCGCACGCCACAGCCACATAGCGCCCAATATGTATTCCTCCATAGGCCCGCAAGTCTCGTAACGTGACAAACCCGGAGCCGAGAAACCCTTTCATACAGCCTGGGTACAGTACCACTGTCTCAATTCCCATCCAGCCAGCATATCCTGGGCGAGACATTCAAATAAACAATTCCGAACTCGAGCTACCCGTCTCCTCATCTGGCCCTCTATATTTCCTTCATTTCTTCTTTCCTTTTGTGCGCCTCGTGTTTCTGCAAAGTTTTCCGATAGATTTGGCCTATGATCAACTTGTGATGCCGAGCCCTGCATAGTTGACCATGAGATGGATCGAGCAGGTCGCCGTCTTGACGGCCTTAGCTTTCTCTGCTGCCGCCCAGCAACCCTCCGGCCAGCCGACCACGACTCCGATTCCGGCCAATATAGGCTTTGTACTGACTGTGCTGCCTCCTACTGCTTCTAATACCACCATCTCTGCAATCGCTTCGATCACCAGCATCTCGTCCTCGCTGAGTTCATCGTTGAGTATCACTCTTAGCTCTACCAGCAGCAGCATCCAGTCAGAACCTATAAGCACCAGCTCGAGCAGCTTATCCTCGTCAATTCTCTCATTGTCTACATCATCCTCGGCCAGCATATTGAGCGGTAGCTTGTCCATGTCCAGCAGCAGCATCCTCAGCAGTTCCTCGTCTTCCACGACCTTTGCCACAAGCTCCCTGAACCCACCCCAGCCTAGCTCTACGACTAGCACCGGCACGTTCAACTTTGGAAATAGCAGTACTTCTAGCACGGCTTCCACCTCCTCGACGAGTAGTTCCTTGAGCTCAATATCTACCATTTCGTCATCAACCAGCAGCGTCAGCAGCACGTCTTCAAGCGGCAGCAGTACCGCCGCAACTTCTACTACGACCGGTACGACAATCGGCAGTAGCTCGACCGATGGCTCAAGCACCACCAGTATCAGCTCGGGGAGCAGTTCATTGACTACATCCTCCCCTTCGTCTACGGATAGTATCACCTCAACTACCATTTCAAACACCTTGACCTCGACTACAAGCAGCTCTTCGAGTTCAAGCAGTTCTTCAAGCTCGAGTACCTCCTCTAGCTCCATCAGCTCGTCAAGTTCTAGCAGTTTCTCATCTTTCAGCTCGAGCAGCTCTTCAATCACTTCAACTTCAGCCAGCCCTGCTGGCGCTAGCGTGAGCACGACCTCTATTGAGCCCGGTGGGCCGTAAACCATACTGAAAAAAAGCCTCTCAGGCCATTTGATAGACCAGCTCCGCTAAACCAACCATCACCGGCGCATGCTCTGTGCTGATCGACATCCTCATCCCCCAAGCATCCAAAAAGCGGTGACTTTACTGCTAATGGCAATTTTGCACAGTTGCAGCAAGCTTTTGGCTCGGGCTACAGGCTTTTGTCCAGCGCCAACAGGCAGAACCCGCAACTATTCAGGCTCCGAGCCGACTACTCGCTCATCACTTCCGACGGAGGCTTGCCTTGTCGATAATTGTCGATAATACCCTCACCTGTGTTTGCGGCTCTTCGAGTATCTTCCAATCACCCGGGAAGATCCTACCCTTGAGATCGGTAAGCAGAACTTTGGTGAGAAGATTACACTGAATATGGTCCCTATACCCTGAGCCCACAGCATGCGGGGTGTTCATGTGTATCGTTGCGCTGAAAGTTGGAGGATATTATTAATAGCTTCAAGGCAAATCTAATTATGGCACCCTGTCATGAGGTACGTTCCTTCTCCGTGTATCCCGTTTTTGTCTCCCCCAAGTCCCATATACCGTCGCATATCCAATGCCCATCTTCTTTTGTCCACAAGAAGTCTGGTATCCTGTCGAATCTAGCGTCGTAGCGGTCCGAAACACCCATCCAGAACCAAAAGTCATCCCACTTCATCGACATGGGCCGCTGCGTCTCCGGGCCGGAATGATATGCCGGCGGCGCGTCCTTGATCCCCTGCTCGTCAAAGCAGTCCGCCACCTTGAACCACAAGCTCTCGTCCTTGAGTTGATGAACTGCAATGGCTTCGTCGCCGACCAGCGCGTGCTGGATGGCGTCCGGGTGTGTCTTCCTCCTAGCCCACGCCGTACCGTCGTGCCGTGCGTCTTTGTCATCGTAGTCGAACTTTTCTGAGCCTCTGAAGTTGACAAAGTTGGCCTTCTCGTGCCCCTTGAGCATGAGAGTCGCTATGGCCATGTCTTCACCCGTCACCACGCGGTACTTGTTTTGGAGTTCCGCAAGCAAATTCACCATGTCCCAAGTGACGGTGTACATGGCGCCGTGCGGAAAGACGAGATCCCAATACTTTGAGTAGTAGAGCTCTCCGATGACAGTCTTCTGGATCGTGCTCTTCATGAGTCCAGTGACACTGTCAGTCGTAAGCCTTGGTGACAGGAAACGATCCCAGAAGCCTCGTGCGTTGAGCCACAGATCGGTGTCCATCTTTGATACAAACTCGTACTGAACGTCGTGGTCGACGAGCCACTTGTAAAACTCGAGGGTCTTGATGGTGTTGGCGGTGATGTCGTCCTCGGCGATGTTGTCGAGCACAATCATATCTCCAAAGGTGCGGTTCTCATTGGCCACCACCTCCATCCACTGCGGTCCAGGATTTGATACCACGAAGCGTCCGTCAAATGGAACATCGCTAAAGATCTTCATCCACGTGGATCTGATAAGCATCCGACGCTCAACATCTGATGCTGTAGAGATGACTGCCGCCAGCCAGGGTTTCGGTAGCTCATTTTCATCGGTGCTGTTGGCGTCTGCTTGATGAGGAGAATAAGGGAAGGGTTTGAGTTCGTATGAGGGCTCTGGCAGCCCGTCTACCGGGTTGCCATGAACGATAGGCTTCGTGATCGGGGCCTTGAACGGCTCGTGGTGAGGTCGTTGGGTATCATGAGTAAGGTGAAAAGTGACGCCGAGAAACAAGATGAAACAGATTGCAAAAACGCGGAAAAACCTCCTTTGGATACATCGACTCAACGACGTCCATATCGCCATTACCATGGACGAGCATGAGGCTACCGAAGTCATGTTGTATCTCTCGTTCTCACACACACTCTCTTCTCTCAGTTGCGCGAACGCAAACAGTCTGCAAAGCAGTAGCAAGCAAGAGGAAAATCTGGTATGAGTACAGCTGTCAAAAGAAAGAGAGAAAAGAGTTCAGAAGTTGAGACGAGCTGGGGTGGACGGGAAGTAACCCCAAACCCCCCTGATACACGACATTGCAGACAAGATTTTTGAACCACTCTGCAACTATATCGGGCGAAAAGTCATTGGGGGAACGGTCACGGTTGCCTGCTCGGTGCTGGGTCAGCCACCACCGCCATGCTGGGGGGCGCGGTAACATCCCGAAGAAACGAGCCCACTGGAAGGCAGGCAGTGATGTTTTGGTTGGCTCGTGAGGATCCCTTCATCAGATGGTAATCATCGTAGCGGAGGGATGCGCAGGCCAACCTGCGCTGCGGGCTTCTGTTTGGACTAGGCGGCGCCGCGGGCACCCGGTTCTCTTACATGATCGGCATTTCCGCCGAGACTTTCTCTGTCTCTTTCCTTTTATTTTATTGTGTGAGTCTGTGTTATCCCGTAATGCCATGGCTTTTCCCGCCCGGGGGTTTCCAAGGGTGGTTGATGGAGACAATGCTTTTCGCGCCTATATGCAGATCCCCATCATCCTTGTTCCTTCGCTCGGGAATATGAAGCCACGCGACATGTTACCTCTCAGTCGTCGGGCGTTCCTTCGCGCCATGCACTGCCCTTTTCCGCAGCGGAGGCTTCGTCTTGGCGGATCGTCCAATCAGCCTCATCAATACCGAAGTCCCTCATTTTGGGTTCCGGGATGATGGAATTGCGAAACACTCATCAGCTGCCAAAGTTATAATCTGCCAGCGCACCGATGGAGCCTGATTTTATTGTCGGGTTTGGAAAGTCTCCAAACATTAAATTAGTTTTGGTGTAATAGCGCTACGTTGGCTTCTATATTACTGATACAGGCAATTGTATCCATAGTCGACACGCCTTTACCGGGCGATTATTCTATCACCCGAGTGGGGACAGCGTGTACTAGAAAACTGTGAACGTACATGGAGCGGGACTTGGAGGAAAGAACTTTTGCAGATGATGATGTTCGAGTTGACATCAAGGACGGACCATGTGCTACTCAGTGCTGACGATGTGCGTCAGGGGCCGCCCCGAGGCCACAAATTGGAAGATTCACGTAAATGTCATGGAATTTTCGTGTACAGGTGGGATTTTCAAGGCTGAAAGCATAAAAGCAATAACGTTGTGACACATGGCCAGCCCACCTGAAGTAGGATCGCCTCAACTTCGCCCGGCTGTGCTGTCCAGGCTGCGAGCCTGCGTTTGGTGGAGGCAAGTCAACTTACTCAACGGAAACACAAAAAGGCGAACCCAGAGACAACGTGTGACATTGACCACTCAAGTAGGGATTTATCAAATCACGGATTTTCGTCTGCAGAGCCTTCAACTATGCCTGCCCCTAGTTTATAACCTCGTCATTTAAACTCGCCTACAGAGCCAAGCTTAGCCAAGCTTCAGAAACAACATGGGCTTCATACTCTCCCGCTGACTACAGAGAAATAAGAAATGACCGGCTACAGCCGACATACGGTACCCAATCAGATTCGGCTTGGAAGTGCAATAATACACATAGTTCACGGGGCGTCTCGTAATACCTGAGCAAAAGATGCTGAGCCGCTGCCCGAGGTTACACTGCGACTACGGGACGGGTCAAGCCTCTTGGTGATTGGGGTCATTAGGAGTATGTGTACGGAGCATGCGCCAGCGATCAAAGTCAGCACTGCCTTCAACTGGCTAAGATCTGCGATTTACGTCGGCACTTGGGGCCTTTCGAGTTTCCTCCACTTCAGCCCCTTATTTACGGCATGGCGCAGATGGCGATAACTACACGGAGGCAACCCTTCCGCTCAGAGGCAGGCAAGGCTTAAACAGCGGGGAAAGGATTTAATCAACCCATGCTTGATAGCACTTTAAAATTCAGAGCATGAGCGTCTCATACCGTATGTCTTTACTCAAGCCTGCTGGCGCACTAGCAGGGCTGTGAATTCAGGCAGCAGAATTTTTCTCGTCCTGGTAGGATGAACCTCAATGAGAGAGGGGTGTAGATGGACATGTACTGACAGAAAAAATGGAACTCAACTGTCGAAAGTCCCATAATCTCTGTTCCTTCTGGAAATACGAAGAAGTCCTATCTGAGTCCAGGATTGGACGAAGTTAATAGTCAATCTTAGTTTGAGTGCGGAAAGCTGATGCCTACCACTACCCGGGCTTGACATAATTCTAATCCACTTACTGTATCTGATTACTTATTCGGAGTGAACAACACAGTTTTTACATCTAGCGATACCTACCTTCTCTATTGAATAGGTACGTGTGTAATGATATTCGAAACTTCGTTGCTCGGCCGCCTCTCTTTCAGTTCATGTTCCCTCCTGTCCTCATCTTCACTTCCTCCTTCTCCTTCGCCTTGGGCAACTTACTTGAGAGCAACTGATACATTGAATTAGAACTCACGAACTCCTGGGTCATGGCATTGTTCGAACAGCTTAAAAGCTGTGTTCACACCTGAATGCCTAGACGAAGCTCGGAAGCCAGATGCCATGCAGTTGGGAGTTGGTCACGCGCCACCCTCAAAATAGCTTCTCTGTGAGTGGAGTCACAATCTGATATGATGAACAGTCAGAGCCCCCCAGTTGCCCGTGTGTCCCGGGGGAATGGCATTGACAACGTGAGTAAACAGAACGGTCCGTTCGCACATGCGTCCCATCTTCCGGCATGGCATTGTCAGCGATGAGCATGAACATAGTGTTCAACGAACCATTATGGTGCTGCGAGAAATAAGGGAAGCGAATTGAAATTACGTATCATGAGGCGAAATATGGCCTTGATGCAAAAAGCCGACCGACTCTGACAGGTTGGTTCAAAACAAAGTCGTGCAGCTGTTAATTCGCCTGACGGTCTCACATTGCTCAACATCGCGACTAAGAAAGTTGAGTAATTGAAGGTAAATTAAGAGCGACGTGAGAAATGATATGAGTCTTCAATTTAGACTTCACAATAACATGAACAGCCATGAAGAGTATTGAGAATACTCGGCAAACGGAGTGAGAGCGGCTGAAATAAAGTTGTTGTGATCAGACCCATCCAGGTTATTAGTGCGCGACCAGGCGCCGTTGCAGTTGCCGCCGCGGAGAGCAGGGGTTCCGGGCGGGGGAAAGCACGCCAGAGCGCAGCGGCATGACATCACCAAAGAACGATTCTCCCCGCGGAAAGCAAAGCCGACGGCGGTGGCGGCAGCGGCTGAATTCTTCAACGCGTTTTTCGCATCAAACGTCAAAGAAGAAACGCCAACCAAACATAGCAAACTTGCTTGGCCATTCTGCTGCCCAATCTCCACCGTTTCACCCAGTGTTCATCCACTGTATCGCAATTCGTCTCGAGGACGCGCAACGTGCATCAAAACCCGCTACCCGTCACCCCGCGATGGCGGGCTCCCTTGCAAGCAAGTTCCTGGCCGCGCTGGCTGTCTGCGGCACCGTCGTTGCCGCTGCTCCGACGAGCCAAGATCAATTCGTCTTCAGAACTGCTGCGGATCTGACTCGCGTTCACGAAGAGTACGTGTCTCTTTCTCTTGCTTCGCGCCCATCTGCACCTTTGACAGCTACGCTGACTTGCAGACAAACAGGCTGGACAAAGCCAAGGTCATCCCTACCGTCCTCGATGACTTTGAGCCCATCATTGGCGTCGCGGCCGAGTGGTCCTCTTCCAATGTCGCCGATCTCGGGAACACCCTGAATCCTGCCGATCTCCAATCTGCGCCTACCGTTGCCATTGTCAGCGGCTCGTCAATGACCAGCGTCATTGCCACGACGTACGTCTTGACTCTCACCGACCCGGACGCGCCTACTCGTAGCAACCCCATCTGGTCCGAGTTCTGCCACTGGATTGCCGTCAGCAGCTCTCCGACCATCTCCTCTGGCATCGAGCCGGCGGATCTGGACGAGGTTATCGAGTACAAACCGCCGGGACCTCCACCCAAGACCGGCAAGCACCGTTACGTCTTCACCGCATGGGTGCCGGCCAACGGAACCAAGGAGAAGTTGGAGCTTTCGAAGCCGGAGGAACGCAAGCATTGGGGAGGCCAGGAGGGTCGTGGGGTTCAGAAGTGGGCCAAGGAGAATGGCCTCGTTGCCGTCGGTGAGTTAACGCCCAAGCTACATACTTGAAGCCGGGAGGGCTAATTGTGAATCAGGTGCCAACTTCATCTACGCCCAGAATGAAAAGCAGTGATGTCTACAAGCAATGCTATGTTTTGATAGTTCAATCACCAACGTCATCGCCGCCCAGCCTTATGTCAAAATGGGTATGGTTATGACCGCCAAGAGGAACTTCATTTATGAGAGCACCTAGCTATTAATACAGACTATATCAAGACTACTCGGGAAGCTGAACAGTCCCGCAAATATGTCCCAATAAGAACCAATGCGGAGGAAAACACGAATAATGCATGCGCGCGAAACGTTGACTGAAGTCGTGCCAGTCAAAAACCCCATCATGGAAAAGAAGTATCCGCAACCAAACGCCTCCCACAAGACGCCTTCCACAACACACACATTTATCGACCAAGGCAACAACAGAAACAATGATCCATGTTGGTGAATTGTGGCGATAATCTAAGCCTCTGTCAGTTGTGAGTCTAGTAGCGATATTGTAATTGCCGTTTCTTCCCGTGTACACACCTATCGATCGCCCTAGATATCGACGTCTTTGTAGATGATGCCGGAATATCTCACCAGAGAAACTCAAGCTTCGCATTGACCTTCATAGTCACTTTGGGTCGATACTGGGCCCGGTTCTTGTCGACATGGCGAGACTTAGAAGAGCACCTGCAACACGGCCTCGGTCTCAGCCTTGGCCTTGGCATCGACGTGTTGACAACAGCTTCAATGATAGCGGCTGCAGGCCTGGGTAGCTTCGAGGGGAATCCTCCGTAATCTCCTCCCTATAGCCTGTGTGGGTCTGCTTGAAGGTTTACATGATGCCCTGGTTGTCGATGCATGGGTTGCGTGGTCGTCTTCCTGTGTGGGTTCATCCACTGTTCTGGCAAACAACATCTGCAGGATATCTGGTTCAGCACGAATGTATTGGCCAAGTGGCGTTGAGGATCTCAATACTTACTTTCGAGGGAAAGCAGTAGACGCAGGAACATAGTGTCGACCGTCATGCAGCCATAACGACACTGCTCACGGCTGCTCATTGTTCCCTGACATCTTCCTCTCTCCAGTGCCAGCTCAGTTGGGTCCTCTGAGACGATCAATCGGTCGTGTCGTTGGCAGCCGGAACTGCTTCCGTACGAAGTCTTTTCGGCCTCGACTCAGGAAACTCGCCACCATCTTCCTCGACTTCGCCCGGCCTCTTCTCGACAGCAGGTGGGGGCGAGGGACAGGGAGGTTGGGCATCTGGGGTATTCGAGCCAGCCTCGAGCGTCCCGCTCGAAACGCTGTTGCTCTCGCCGCCCGCATTCTCATTCTCGCGATCGACGCCGAACTCTTCTCCCTGCTGTCCGGGAACGAACAAGTCAGGAAGTTCGTCGTCATATGTCTCGTCCTCGGAAGACGACTCTGACTCTTGCTGCTGCTGTGGTGCCTGTTGAGTTGCGGGACTAGGACCAACAACGGAAGCATTGGCAGTAGCCGCCGCCGCATTGCGCGTCCGCTTGTTAACCTCTCTCTGTCTCAGAGATATGCCCGTGAAGGAACATTTATCCGACATGCGCATACAGACGCTACACGGGCCATTTGTCCTCCGAACACATCGGTAGCCTCCCGCATGGCATTTCCCGCACTTAGGATCCTGCGCAGTTCCTGTTCTATCGACGTCGTCTGCACGTTTGTGCTCCTTGAACGTCTTATCGGCCATCATCTTGCCCTCGGGCCCGCGCTTCCTTACACAAAATGTGCATCTGCAGCGTACTTTCTCTTTCTGCTTACCCCCCTGGTTGGAGGCCTCGACCGCTGGTTGCGCAGGAACTTGATCGGCAGCAGGAGCCAAAGCCGCGACCGAGGCTGGAGCCGGAGCTGAAGCCGAAGCCGAAGCCGCAGGTCGATTCAGCGCCGAGGTCAAGGATTGTGCACCGTTCAGAGGCGTCCTCGAGCTCTGCGCATGGATCTTCGGACGGGCGTTTGGAAGTAGCGTCCGCCCGGCGGCGTTCTTAATCTTTCTGGGACTTGCCGGGGGAGCATTTGTCGATGAAGGCCCAGGTAACGCGACCTCAGGTATCGAAGGTGCCTGCACTTGTGAGGCCGCTGCCGGTGCCGGGGCTACGACCGGGGCATCAGCCGGACGTACGGCCGGACGTACGGCGTCAGTAAGACACCACATGGGCATCAACTGCACCGGATCCACATCCGTCGTCAAGATGGAGGAGATCGGACATAGCTGGTTTCTTTCCCCGGACGCCGGGAACGAGGCCGTATAAATGGGACCCGGCGCACCCCTCACCTGCTGCTGTTGCTGCTGCTGCTGCTGAGCAGATCCAATGGTAGAGCTTGTGGCAACCTGAATTGATGCCATCTTTTTCTCTGAAAACCCCGTGTTAGCAACAGCTTCCAAGCACTCCGTTACGGTTGGGGTAGGTTAACTAGAAGTACTCAATAGATGATCTTTTTCGGGAAGTTTTCTCTCCTTAGTATCAGCTCAACGCCGTGAGGGTATTTGACGTGGAATATTCCAGGAAGAGTGAGGTGCCTTGTGGTAGGTGAATGGATGGATAGGTAATTGGAAGGCTGAATGTCTTTTGAAGAAGGTGTGCTGGAAGGTTGTTCTGTTCTAGATCGTCTCTATCACTTACACGTTGAAATGGAGATGAAATTGATGAGGGGCTTTGTCTATAACTTGCTGTTTTCGAGCCTCTTCCTATAGTCCTGGAAAGATCTCCCGGAGATAGCCTGGCTAAGTGGCGCCTGAACATTGTGACCTAAAGTACCTCTCTGGTGTTTCTCCGATGCTCATGTTGCGCGTTGGGAAAAGCCCCCAGTCACTTACCTCTTCAGACTTTCTTCGATGTCTATATTGGGCGGTGATAGACCATAACTCCTACCTCTGTAGTCTGTCTCCGGTGCCAACGTCGGCGCGGGATAGACCAGAAGCCTTTCGGATATCTACCTCTGTATACTTTCTCCGATACGTGTTCGGCCATTATGGATGGCCTTCGGTCAGCCTCGACGAGCTCCCAGGAACACTGACCGACGGGTTTGACGCAAGCATGCCCCCGTCCGGAGCGCCAGTTGATCGTCTTCGTGGCATCAGCTTATGGGCATACCAGGACAACAGTTGACCATGTCTGTTTCGTGCTGTATCTGTTGGCATACACATCAGCAGGACAGTCCGAGGGCCGGTACGAAGCTCAGCAATCTTGATACTGAACTTTGTATATATGTGTGTGAGAGGAGGAAGTTGGTGGGCGTAGCCAACCATTTCTCCGTTGGGTGTAAGTACCTACGTTAGGTATGTTGGTATACACATAAACAGGGGCGACCGTACGGTTGAGACTAAGGTCGATAATCTATTGTATTACTGCGTGAGGTTGAAGGAGGAGGAACTGGGCGAAGCTCACGATTCCTCTAGAGGTGGTATGTAAGTAGAAGGGCAGTTTGCACGGCCCAGACCACCTTCCAAATGCACCCTGCTCCGCCGTCAATATTCCGGCAGTTTTCGATCCCAAGTTCACGATGTGTTTGAATGTATCTGGTCAAGCGATGTTTACTGGTAGTCTTGTTCTAGATTTCTATGAACCTACTTGAACATGAACGACTACCTGAGGATCGTGGAAACTAGCAACCACAAAACTCCTACTTTACACGTAACAATACACTCCGATACTATCTGCATGTACTGCTCGCCCGATTCCTTCCCATCCTAAGGTAGGTCTAGAAATCAGGCGGCCCGAGACTCTTCTGCTCCGGGGGGAGAACCGGGCGTTCCACTCGAAGGCGACTGCCCTCCCTCGTCCGCTGTGCCGGAGGTAGCAGGAGAACTGCCATCGACGGTCTTAGACCCATCAACGCTGGAGCTACCTTCGCGACTACTGGCTCTGGGCGGCTCAACCTGCTGCTGTCGTTCAGGTCGAGAGCTCCTCTTGTTCACTGGTCTACGCCTGGACGTCGCCTGCGGCGGTTCCACAGCCTCCTCATTGACAGGAGGAGGTTGCGGATTCTGAGGGCTATTCCTACTCGCCCTTGTACGCCTCTGCTTCTTCTTCGGCGGCTTCCCCACCTCCAATCTCTCCTCCGCGTTCGCCTCGTTCTCGCCTTCGCCATCGGCATTGCCCGGTGCCTTCTCCTGCCTCACTTTTCCCTGATCTCTCTTCCTTCCCTTGGACTCTTTCTTGGAGAATGAGCACTTCTCCTTCTTCCGAACACAAGCCGAGCAAGCATTCCCGCCGTCGTAAAAGCAATCATCGCCGCGAATGCCTCTGGCACACCCCCTGCAGGGTACCTCGGCCTTCTCGCCCTTTGCGATGATCTCGTCGGCACGTATGTGCTCGACGATCGTCTTGACGGCCTTTATAAGCCCAACCCCGTTGACTGTGTCGAGCTTTTTGCACGAGGAGCACGTGCACATTGCCCTCGCGCCAGTCGTGGCCCTCGTCTGCCGGTTATTCGCCACGGATGCCGCAGTTGTCGTCTGCGGAGCGGGTGCGACGGTATTTGATCCAGTCGCTGGGTTTACCGCCGGTGGTGGTTGGGGTTGTTGATTCTCTGCATTGGGCCTACTCGTCGGCAATGGACGCCGAGCTGCTGCTGGTCGACCCAAGCTGCCACTTGGTAGCCGCGCTTCATACTCGATTGGTTCGTTGATGCCTCTGAATGGGAGCACCAGTAACGGAGTTTGAGTTGCTGTTGACGAGCCCAGGTTAGGGCCGGGCACAGCATCCGCATCTCGATGACCTTGTCTGGCGGGTGCATTGATAGCAGTCCAGTCACGAATTCGAGAGTGCTCTGGGACTGCATCTTGGACAAGACGGGCGGTGTGGGCGGCGAGCTCCTCATCTCTTTTCAGAGTGAACATCGCCACCAGTGCCTCTGCGGCGATGCTTCTAAGACTCTCCTCCTCTCCCTCCGCGAACACGGGCTTGAACTCAATAGACACAGCCATTTTTCTTAGGTCAGGCTATTGCGGTGTTATTCAGGGATAATCATGTACTAGGGAGACAGCTATCAAAAGGCCACGGGAGTTGAACTCTTACGATATGGTTTAATGCAAAGCCGAAAAGGTAGGTAGAGGATGATGGTTCAATCAAAAGCCGAATAGGTAGGTAGATGTCAATGACAAAGATAAGTTGACGGTAGAGAAGGAAAACGTATGGCCTACCTTAATATAGCTATGAGAATTTCCATTGATGATAATTTCTCACGCAACGGAGATAGGTTCGGGAAGGACATTCATGTTGTGTGGCTAACTTGTTGCTAGACGCATCACAGGTTTGACATGCCATGAGGTTAACGGCGGAAGCTGTTAACGGAGAAAGCTTCTAAGCTAGCTTGCCCGCGAGCAGTACGCTATGGGATATTGATACAAGAAGAACCCCTTCAGAACCATTCCCCCTCGCTTCTTTACTCCCAATGACATGACTCCTTGTACCTGGTGCACTCTGAGCAGGAATTGGACTTCTCTGCCCACTGATAGCATTTGCGCCCATCAGTCTTTTTGCACCTCTTGCACTGGCCCCATGGTTGTTCTAGCATGTTGCGTTCCTCAATCTTCTCGGCTAGTATATGTGCGTGTACGGTGCTTTCGGATTTCGGCTTGCTGTGGCCACGACATTTCGAACACGGGCACTTGCGCTTTTTCCCTCTTCTTTGGCCCGATGTCGGGGCCCTCAGAGTGGGCTTGTCGGCCATCCCATCATCCAATATGCTGTCACCCAAAGAGCCTGGAGTAATAGCATTCGACATCCCAGTGTCTGTAATCTCATCGGGAGAAGTCTCAGTATTAGGGGCCTCGGCGTCGATGGCCTCATCATCTCGAGTGGCCTTGCTTGAACTCGCAGGGCTAGGTGTATCGTTCTCTGGCTGGTTCTCAGTCGAACCGAAGTTCTTCGACAAGACAGACTCTGGGGAATTAGTGTTAGATGTTTCATCAATTGAAGCCTAACTCATCGAAGCGGCATCGTCGACGGTGTTATTCGCCAAAGTAGTCTGCTGTAGGTTGCCGAATGGACCATTGGTCTTCTTAGACCCATCCGCCCCGCCGTTATTTGACTCGTTCTCCATTTCCAAGCCTGTAGGTACTTGCTGACCATCTTCGGGCGCAGGCTGAGGATTGAACGGGCTCACCAGGAGGACATCGTAAGGGTTCACATACTGCGGGTATGAGGACGAGTCGCTGGAATTGGACATTGTTTGAGAATTGCGTGGGAACCTTGTTATTGTTGAAGAAGTAGTAGAATGATGGTTTTAGCGGTGCTGGTGGACAGTTCTGATTGATACAGAGGATACAGAAGGTGGCGATGTTGTTTGGTGGAAGTGCAACATTTCTGTCCACAAGCCAAAGAATGTCGTTCTTCACTCAACGACGCAGTGCCTTCCTTTATCTGGGTACACGATGGCCTAGGAAAGAATTGCTGGGCCTACTCGGCATCCGCGACGAAGGGTGTGGCAGGAACTTGGCCACATATGACAAGGGTCGCCGGCAAGAGCAGCAAAAAACACGACTATGGCTTTGCGGTTGCTCGAACTAGACAGAATCTATTTGGGAGAAGGCACCGACCTTGAACTAAGAGGGATCACCTCCCATCTCCATGAGGAAGTCGGACTCTTTCCATATCACGAGGCTTCTGTACTTCACTAATCTCTCTTTCCCAACGACAGGCTTCGCACCCCTTTCCCTTGCCATTCAGCAATGCAGAAACATCAGTAAACTGAGCGAAAGCTCCAGGTCATACCTCACTCTGCCAGGCTATCACCCGTTGAATTCGCACCTAATATATGGGTATGTTCCAGCACTGACATAGGCAAAGCCACACCTCTGGTAGGTCAAGGCCTCACAGGTCTCATTTTCCGCACATTTCGATAAGCACATATTAGTCAAAATTCACGAGAGATACCTACCTAACACTCAATATCACACACATCGGATATAATCAAGAGGTCTTCATAGAGGAACACAATGTACATCTCAAAGGGATTCGGGGGAACAAGATGGCCAAGGTGACACACACGCACGGTCTCTGTAGCATCGCATATATCACTTCTTGCCTGGGCAGAATCACATAATCCTTCCCGTAGCCCATCAGCCGAGCTTTCATCTACCTCCGGAATACGAAAATATCTTTGCCAGTGAGGTAAGCTGACGTCCCCATCCCACCTCCGGCCGTTTCAACCACTTCGTCGGGCCGCGACATGCGACGAATCACAGCTTCCCCGCATCGATCCTGCGCCGTACTTTACTTGGAGACAGGGTGGAAAAGCGATCCTTGGGAACCCCAACAACGAATGGGGAGTAGTTCCGTCGCTAGATTCGGTCGGAGATCCTGAAAGATGGTGTACCGACCCTTGATTGAGGGGTACGGTTTGGGCATGTTTACTCGACGGTGCCTCGGTCTTTCTGAAATATTCCTCGGCCGACCGATTGCAGCGTTTCCTGAGAAACTATCAGCCCGTCTGAGGGTTAATTAACATCAACGATTTACTCAAGTATATAAGCAAACTGACAAGACAACCTGATGAAGTCAACCCAACTTTCATTGAGACAATCCTATCTAACTATTCCCCAAAACTTTTCACCATCCCAGCTTGATCTGGTTTCACAAAATGTCTTCCCCAGCACCGAAATACAAACCCCTTCCGGCCCCCCGGCGCATAGTCACAACCCACAACGCCGAAGGCCAAGCAGTCCTCGTCGCCGATCTCGTCCCCGAACTCCCCAAATTCTCCCTCCCGGGAAACGACCTCTTCCTAGCCTACACCTCCCCCTCCCTCCCCGTTCCGCTCCCCCAAGACGCCGATCTGAACGCCTACAAGACCGACCTGACCCTGAAGCCGCCCCACGAGATCAGCATCGCCATCCCGGGCGGGCTCGCCGTTCGCATCAGCGACTTTTTGCCTGGCGGGCCGGACGCGCCGATGCATCGGACCGAGACCCTGGATACGGGCGTGCTGGTCGAGGGCGAGCTGGAGCTGGTGCTGGATAGCGGGGAGACGGCTATCCTCAAGAGGGGCGACGTGTATGTGCAGAGGGGCACGATCCACGGGTGGAGGAATGTGAGCGAGACGGAGGTGGCGAGGTTGTTTGTTGTGCTTACTGCGGCGGAGATGCCTGTTTTTGGGGGCGAGAAGTATGGGCAGGTGTTGCCTCTTCCCCCTACTGAATCGGGGGCCGAATAAGGGGGCGAATTGAGACGTCTTTCTCATATGGCTTGATGGCGGCACTGGCGAGGGGAGTCTGCTTACGGGAGATGAACGTTCATGAGGTTAGTTTGTACATGTAACTCAAAGGGAGGTTCGGACCGTCGACAATGGGCTGCTCCGTAGCATTTGACACACTACGGGAGCTTGGCGTAGCAACGGAGATGTTGAAGCAAGTGTTTTTGAGTCTCTTCAGACGTCATTGGATTTCAGGTGTTGCAACATCGACAACATCTTTGGTCGGACTACATCATGCATGCGCCATAGATCTTCACGACTAAGTGTCCCGTAGTTCTGATCCGGGCCCATCCTGAACGGCCTGTGAGATATTGACACGGTTGGTGGCGATGACACTGCAAATTGACCAAGTTGAAGTAAGCATTACTTGTATCATTATCTCGAACTTTGAGGTATTCAAATCTTCTCTCGGCAGTATCCAGTCGTGGCACCAACCGATTGGCATTTCTGTGTGGCATCAGTCAGTGACTTGTCTCCTCCGAGATGATCATGTTAACTAACCTTGGTCCAATCGCAGTTGTTAATAGCCTTGGAAGGGATGAACGCAAAGAAGGACTTCTTGTAGCGGTGGCACTCCTTAAAGTTCTGCCCGTAGTATCCAGCCGTTCCGGGATCCACGCAAGCCTTGACCGTGTCTTCGTCCCAGGGGATGTTGTCTTGCAGCCTGCCCTCGTACATGAAGTTGCTTCTCTCACACCTTGGATAGTGGAATTCAGTACGTGGTGCTCATAAACTTTACAGGGTGATGGGTGTTACGTACCAGCAAGTCTTGTACTTGGCACATGCTTCCGTAGAAGTGATGGCGACCGCCACGATCGTAGCTATGATGGACAACTTCATTTTTGGCTTCTGGTGGTAGAGCAAGCGCGTAATAGGGTTGACGGAATTAGCTTCAATAGCCAAAGTCTGCTGGGAAGGGGGACCGAATACGAATTGATATAGCTTCGACTATTCGAGATTATGAGACAGGCGGAACCGAGTCAGCGCGGTATCCAGAATCATCCTCATTTGAGCGGGTGCAAATTACACCATGTAGTGCAGTGGGTTAGCATGACTCGATACGAGATTTGGTTGCCTGCCGTACCTGCGTTTTTGATAGTTAAGCTTCTAACATAGATTGCTCTAGATGAGAGAGCCACTGAAAGGACCGATGATCCGGCACCTATGCGGCAATCGTAATTCTACGTGTGCGAACGGATGAACGTGTTGTTGAAACGCCGTTGGCGCTTCCGTGCGGACCATGCTTACCCTTGCACCAGATGGCCCTCCGGCACGGTAGGCCGGGCGGCGCGGACTTTGTCTAGGATGAGGCGAGTATCACGAGTCGTGAGGTGGCCTTCATTGGCTCAATTGTGCGCCAAGCATCACGTTTGCGAGGATTTCGCAGAATTCGTGAATCCAAGGAGTGCTTGTTGTAGTATCATTCGGCGCTGAGTATCGCGAAGGAGATCAGTTGGCACAGATAGGATAACAAGTCATTAACTCTATTAACATAGTAGTTTGGTCATTATTGAGGTTCATGTCTACTCAAGAAAAACGAAAGAAAATTCTATCCTTATCTAACCCAAACATTTCATAGCCTTTTTCTTCTTTTTAAGGCTTGCTAACTTGCTCCTTTCTGAAGAACTTGAAGTATCCAAAGCAGATAAACAGGTTGAGCAAAAGCACAACCCAAAACCAGGCGTTGGCAAACGCGATGCCCAATCCTTCGCTGATATCAGGGAAAACAGGGCCCGGACCGACGTTGTTAGGCGCGGTGGCGCGGGCCAACATTGTAAAGATGGAACCAAGGACCTGGGCGGCGACACAGGCCGCCGCGACGTGCACACGGGTGAGCGTCAGCATGAGAATCATACCAATACCCGCGCCCTGGAGACCGTCGAGGATGCCGAGCCACAGCCAAAGGACACGACTGAGGACGGCACCGGCGACGGCGCTTCCGGCCCACGGCATCCAGAGACCGATGCGGGAGGTACCCCACCAGATCTGGGCCCAGCGCGGGGCGCCAAGACCGACGGCGAACATGGGGAACAGCCAGGGATGGCTCTCGCTGGCCTTGGCCAGGCCCCAGAGGACGAGGGCCCATACGAAGATGAAGAAGAAGAGGGCAAGGATGACCATGCTCCAGACGGGCACGTGCTGGGACGCGAAGAGGAAGAACCAGTTGCGTCCGAAGAGGGTGCTGAGGAAGTAGTTCTGGATGCAGACGGCCATGAGGTACCAGGCGATGGTCTTGCGCTTCATGAGCGTCTTCCAGAGCTGGGGGATGGGGCCGGGGGTCTGGCGGTAAAAGTCGGGCAGGCCGAGGTAGAGGATGGCGCCGATGGCCCACAGGAGGACGGCAACGGGGAGGCAGATGCCCAGGAGGGCGGGCTTGCCGGCGAGAGTAGGCTTTGCAACGCTGTTGGCCTCGGCCTCGGAGACCAAACTACCCCAGGCCCAGAGACCAAGGGTGTAGAGCTGGGTAAGGCCCTGAATGATGGCGAGACGCTGGATCCACTTGGGGACGGTGGAGCCACCGTCGGTACCAAAGTTGAAGGCGAAAGCGAGGGATCCAGAAGAGGAGGCGAAGGCGTAGAGGCCGGTGGCGGCGTTCTGGAGCCAGACCATGGTGTTGTTGTCGCCAGCAAAGGGGGAGCAGCCGAGGACGAGGAAGGCGACGCCGTAGACGGCGTAGGGAGCCGAGAGCGGGTAGAGCAGAGGCATGGTGCGCGACAGGACGTACCAGAAGACGGACGAGACGAGGTAGATAGTGGCGATGATGTAGAGCTTTTCGGCGGTCTGGCCAACTTCACCAGTGAGCAGAGTCACCTGGTAGGAGTTGGTAGCGATGACCTGGTTGAGGGCCAGAAGCATCGCATAGACGGGCCAATCGCCGACACGGTACTGGAGCCACTTCCTGACACCAGTGGGCGCGACGTAGTCATCGGGGAGGTCGAATTGCGCGTTGTATGAGCCGGGCGAGTCGGGGGGTGTCCTGCTGTCGTAGGCGCCGTTCGGGTCGTCGGCAGCCATGCTGTTCATCAATCCGGACTTTCTGGCGCGACCACGCTCGAGAGGCAAGCTCAACTTGGATGAGGACTTGTTCTTGAACATGCCAAGACTCAGGCGGGAGGCGTTGGGCGAAGAGGCTCTGGATCTGGACTGTCCTCTGGCCGATGAAGGGGACGCCGAGCGACCCAACCTAGCGTCGAGGTACATGTCGAACCACTCCTTCTCGGACTTGATGAGGTAGTCCTCAATGCAAAGCTCGGAAATAGAGTTGCCGGCGTTGAGAGCCTTGAGCTTCTCCTCAAAGTGCTCGTAGAACTCACCCTTGGAGTCAGTGAAGAAGGGGTCGACCTGCTGGAGCTTGTAATCGTGTCTGTCACCGACGACGTCCTCAACACTGAGCATGGAGGCTCGCGAGGAGTTGTCCTGCTGCATGCCGAGACCTCCACCCGGGGGCGGGAGAGGCAAAGTATCGGCCATAGAGAAACCAGAGACATTGCGGCTGTGGGCTCCGTCCTGGCCAGCCGGTCCGGGAAGAGAGAAGTTGCGGCTATGGGTATCGGAGATGTTGCGACCATGTTCCATTTGTCTGCCGAACGGGCCGGGAGACCCGGCGCGAGAGCCGTACGGTGAGTCGACATAAGCGGGAGACGGTGACATGGAAGGCGATCCGGGGGTGCTGGTGTATCTCATCGGAGTCTGCATGCCGGCCGGAGTAGTGCGACCGGTGTGAAGGGTAGTGCCATCGTCATCGTAATCGGAAACCTGGCGCATCCACGCGGGGGAACGGTCGACAAGCTCGACTTCACCGCGAAGAGGCTCCTGGATGGAACCGGGGCGGGTCTTCTTGACGAGGACGTTGCCCTTCTTGAGACCCTTCTTACCGTACTTTGCGTGGGCGCTGATGACACCCTGCTGGAGCTTCTCGAGCTTCTCAAGCCACTCGGCGACGGGGAATCGCTGCTTGGCGGACCAGGCACGCATCATGGCTCTGGTCTTGGTATCCGTGTCGAGGGCGTCCTTGATGGCGTGCTTGAACTGCTTGGTAAGATGGGCGGCCTTGGTCGATTCGACCGTGTACCACCAACCGGGCATTTGACCGAGACCACCGACGCGGGCACCGACACCCAGAGCACCCTTTCTACCGAACTCGACGGCGACCAAACCGAAAGGCTCGTCTCTGGAAGGGATAAGGGCAAACTCGGCACCGCTGAAGATGTACGGCGGGAGAGCGGTGAATTCGGGCTTGGAGAAGACACGTCCGGGGTAGAGTTCCATGAGCTTGGCGAGCTTAAGAGCAGCGAAGCGTCCGTAGAGATCAATCATGGGGCCAATGGTGATGAGCTGAGCCTTGGGGTAGTTGTCGAGAACCCAAGGGAAGATATCGGCGATGAGATCGACACCCTTTTGCAGCGACCAACGTCCGACGAAGACGAAAAGCTCGGCATCGGGATCGACGTTGAGACCAGCCCATTCCTGGGCCTGGCGTCTCAAGTCACCACGGCCGGCCTCATAGGCGGGGTCGACCTCGATCTTGGGCTGGTTCATGAAGTCGTTCTTGTCCCAGTCGGCGGTATCGGTAGGATCGGGGTTGGGCAGCTGGCCGACCTTGGAGAGACCCCAGAAAATGGGGTAACGAGCGAAGGAACGATCACCGTACTTGCGGGAAACACCGACGGCACCGAATCCGTTCTGGTGGACGCGGAGGTAAGAGGCACCGGCGTGAAGCAGGTTGAAGACTGTATGGATGTCAGCAACTGATCGTGAAGTTATTAGTCCAGGCGGATTATCTTACCTGAACCGTATTGGACGTATTTCTTGACAATTTCGATATCCAAGTTGTAAGCCTTGCATACTTCGGCGCTCTCCTCGGGCGTACGCATGGGCCAGAGACCCTGGAATTCGGCGTTGTGGAGAGAAAGAGCGACGGGAATGGTCTTGGGCAACAGGTACAGAGGAGCGATGGAACCGTGGTAATCGTTAATGTGGTACATGTCGACGGGGAAACGGTTGCAAGTGTCGGCGATACATTGGTTCCTTCAAGGCTGGTTAGCATGCAATCTTCTAGGCGGCCAAACCATTGTGGTGGAACTTACCAGGCAGAGTAGTAAATAGCAGACTCCAAATCGTCCATACGAGGGGGGTAGGGCTCAGACTTGGTCTGCTTCCTGAAGACGGGCGCGTCGAGCAGAACGTAGGTGATGTTGTCCACAACGTGGTACTGTACCTTGATCTCGTACTCCTGGTCCATAATCTTGACGTACATGCTCGGCGCGATCTGATCGATGGGGTACTCGATATCACCGACGCAGGGCACGACCCACACGAGGTCCTGGTGCTTGAGAGCCTTACCCATCAACTGGGCCATGACACCCAAACCACCAATCTTGATCTTGAGGTTCCAGTCATCAATGTTGTACTCCATAGTAGCAATCAGCACCGTCTTGCGCTTGTTGCCAGCGGTCGCGGCCGCGGCGGCGGAGACGAGATCGGTCGAGCTGCGCATGCTGAGGGGAATGGCACCGGCGGCGCCCATGAAGACGTTGCGGGTCTTTTGGACCATCATGTTGAACTTGGACTGGTCGTGGACACCGTGCTCGTTGAACTTGACCTTGTAGAAGGAGCGCTTGAAGGCCTGAACGGCGGCGAGACCGGAGAGGACGGGGACGATGAAGAGAAGCAGCCACAGGAAGAACTGGATCCACATGTTGCCCTGGGGGACGAGCTGGTACTGGAAAGTGGCATCGTTCAGGACGACCTTGTAGGCGAGGTACGGCGTGGGAGGGTGGCCTGTGATATTGACGGCGTTCTCGTACAAGGACGAAGGGGGCAGACGCTCAACGACGTTGTCTCCGTCGACGTCACCGTAGACGAAAGACTGATCAGGCAGCTTGTCCGGGTTCATGCCCCAAATGCTCATCTTGAAATAGTTTGGCCACTCGTCCATGTAATGCCACGTCCACTGCGACTCGGTCGCGTGGCTCATCTTCTTGAGGAGACCGCTGTCGTAGCCGAACTGGTTGAACT